CATTGAAAATTCCATATTCATTGCTTAAGAAAATTAAAAGGTCAGGATAACATATATGACTAATTTAGGAATAACCAGAACATTTAAAAATTTAGAAAAGTATTTGTGCTGTTGTTTTGACACCAATAAACCAAAAACCTGCTAGCCTACTAAAAACATTGTTTTCATATCTCAGAGTCATGAAACCTGTCTCCATAACTGTATCACTCATTATCTGTGTTTTCTTGGCAAGTTACTACACCTTTCTGCATTTAGATTATAGGACCTCTCTATAAGCCTATAATTCATTCAATTCAAAAGCTAGGATGGTTAGGCAAATGACTAGGAACAAAAGCAAGTTATGGAACTTCCTACCAGTGCTGGATTATCTCTACCGATAACCTGAGCATCTTCCAGCTTATGTGGGCTAACTGAGGCTACTAGGAATGGTAACGCATTCAAGAGACAGACGCATCAGGTCTATCACTATCAGGGGAATTTTCATGTGCAATAATATCAATATGCTGTTATGAGGACCAACAGCCTGCTTGGGCAATTGTGAATGAACAGCCCCAATGGTGGCATCCAATGGTGTCCTGGGACTCAGGAAGGCTGAAAGATTTAAAGATGTAAATGGAGTCACCTCTGGTGGCTCATGCCTGTAATCAATCCCAGTATTTTGAGAGGCTGGAGGATCACTTGCGCCCAGGAGTTCGAGACAAGTCTGGACAACCATGAGACCTTGTTTCTACAAAAAGTTTAAAAAAAAAAATTAGCTGGGTATAGTGGTTCGCGCCTATAGTCCCAGCTACTCAGGAGGCTGAGGCAGGAAGATTGCTTGAACCCAGGAGTTGGAAGCTGCAGTGAACCATGATCATACCACTGCACTCCAGCTTGGGCAACAAAGTGAGACCCTGACTCCAAAAATAATAATAATAAAATCAAAAAGATGTAAATGAGACAGTAAGCTTTGCTTGTATTTCAGCACAGCAATTGAGCTTGAATAATGCTGAGCATGGCAAGATTATACACGTTATCCATATGCAATAAAGATTTTTAAAAGGCTTCTAAATGACTTTGTATGTAATCAGCCACCAATAAGCTCTGGAAAACTTTCTGCAGTGTTCTGTGTTTAAGACAGAGACTACAACTAACTGCATAGACTAAATACCTCAAAACACTGTTTCTTCGTATTTAGAAGGTACATGAATATTAATAATCCCTGAATGATAGATACTTTTAAGATCAGAACTTATCAGAGATAATATTCCATATTCTTGCTCATGGAGGTTACGCAAGAGTTATGAAAAAGGACAAGAGGAGATTACTAGATATACTGGTTGCAAAATACAAGATGGAACAAGGAAATCAGTACTCACATTTTACTTTAGGATGGCAATTAAAATAATGAAAATAAGTTTAGGTACAGCTTACATAATTTACATCTTCCAAGCATGCATTTTATGCTTGGGTAAATATTATTTATATGAACTTCAGCATAGACTTTTCCCAAGTTGTCCTTTGGCCTAAAAGACAAATCAGAATGATTTTTATAAAGAAAAATCAGAATGATTTTTATAAAGAAATGTTGACCCTAGAAAGCAAATCACTAAATCAATGCATAAAGACTAAATTATGTTTCATCTAAATGGACAAACTTGTTTTTTAAGATTGAACATGGACCAGTCATTCAACTCGCCTAGGAAATTCTGTAGTTGCTAATAATAATTAAGCTTACAATGAGTAGTAAGCCAAATACTACTTTATTTATATTAAGCATTAAAAGGAAGACTAGAGAGCAACCCCCTGGGGTTCCCTCCCACTGTGGGAGCTTTCATCCTTTTAATAAATCCTGCTTTCTAAAAAAAAAAAGGAAAACTAGAGACAACTCTTGCTATATCTTAATTTAGTATGTATTTATTAAGATCTCTTTAAAAATCTTACCAAAGACTTCAATATTTTGGTATATTTCACTTATGTTTTGAGCAGTAATCTAAATGCAGGTATGGATTGAGAGACAGCAACTGTCTTACATAGCAATTGCATTAAACGCACCTGTATTTTAAAACTAGATTGCTTCAATGCCAAAAGAAAACATTTCTTAAAGCCTATATATACCCAAGAGTCACAGTGGCGCTAAACTTGAAGAGTTAAACTAAATCTGCTTGAAGACATTTCCAGAAATCATTCAACAACCGTACCCCATCACACTTGCCAGAGCTTTCAAGGATAGAGACTGTTGACATAATTTCTTTACTGCCTTGCTCACCACTAAAGCAACCAAAAAATAAAAATAAAAAAGACCCTAACTAGTAATAACACCACACCTTAAGTTAGTCATAGCACATGGTTAACTCCACCTAGTGTTCCGCAATCAAGGAATATTTCTATTCTTTGAGAATTACATATGATTCAACTCTGTTACCTCATAAGATAAATATGTTTAGCCATGGGGGAGATTTTAGGAGTAGCCTTCAGTTTGCCTTCATTATGTCATCACTATTTAGTTCAAATGGTATGAGCTAGGATTCACTGGTAGCTCAAATATTCAAACCCCAAATAGTTAATGATCCCCAAACATTAGGCTAAAACTAAGCTATTTTTGCCTCTCAATTTCCTTATATTAAGATTCCTTTTCTGAAAATCTTGTTATACTGTGAGCCTAACACTTTCTAATTACCGCATATGCTTACCTCTAATTTTGCTAACTGCTGGCCTGTACTTGCTGAATGGTACATGTTAAAATAACAATATCATCCAGAAATCCCTTTTGGAGACCTTAGAATTCTGCTTTCCTCCTGGCAAAACTGAAGCTGTGGATTTAGTCAAAAGTGAAAAGATAACCCATCTAGGCAAATGTATAACAGAGTTTGATAAAGACTGAAATATGCCCCCTCCTTGCCTATTGAAGTCTGTTCAAGAATGAAGAGATGAGGTGATATTCAGAAAGAAAACCCCTAAGCCTGCTTTTGTTTTCTCAAGTCTCCAAATGTAAGATTTTAAAAATCTAGTTATTCATACTCATTTACCTGCACTAGGACTCAATTGTAATTTAATAGCTAAACACGAATATTTTAAGTCGAGAGTAAGGAAACCTTAATCATGCTGGTAAGCAGGGGTTTAAAATAATCTGTGAAAATTCTCAGCTACATTGAAGATTCCTGGAGAAAGACTGTCACATGGTAAGGCAACCTTTAGAGTCAATGACTTTGTCAAGAAGCAGTAATACTGTTCACTAGTGTTCTATGCAACAGCAGGAAGTGTTTCGAAAAAAGTCTCTGGCTTCAAACAATGACTTTTCAAACGAACTTTTGGTTTTTGGTAACCAAAAAAAAAGCTAAGCCCAAGGCTGATTACTCCCTTTCTCTGAGGCTAAGCCCAAGGTTGATTACTCCCTTTCTCGAAGATAGTGATGTGCAGACACTTATTCTCAAGTCTGAGGGAGAAAGATCTCCTCTTAAATGAATGAGTTATAGGTTCTTCAATACTGTCTCATTTGCAACAAGCTATAAATGAAAAGAGCACAGAGCACTACCTGGCAAACAGCAGACAGTTGACGTGTGTTCCCCCCCACTCTGCCTGGTAGCCACACCCTCTATAAGGTTTGTAGCATGAAAGATGGCCTCAGGTGCCATCCAACTTTAAGCAAACTCCCATTTAAATGCTCTACTAACAAATCACTCTATAAAAAAGATACCTGCACACGTATGTTTATCGCAGCATTGTTCACAATAGCAAGAACCTGGAAACAACCATGCTGCCCATCAAAAGAGGACTGGATTAAAAAAATGTGGTACATATACACGATGGAATACTACGCAGCCATAAAAAAGAACAAAATCATGAATTTCGCTGCAACCTGGATGGAACTAGAGTCTATAATACGGAGTGACCTCTCACAAAAACAAAAATCCGAATATCACATGTTCTCACTCATATAATGGACCTTGAACATCCAATGCAATACTATAAGAAAATGACTGATGGTACTGGGAAACTATGGGGGGGGAGGGGAATGGGATTAACAGTAGCAAATATCTGTCGGGGGATGTGAAAACACTTCTTATCTACAGGGTGCCTGAATGAAACGTCATTGTACACCTAACCCTTAATTGTACCCCACAAAACCATAATAAAAAATACTGATTAATGAAAAAAATAAAATAAAATAAAATAAATGCTCTACTAATTAACATCTGCAATGATTGAACAGGTTAACTTTTGGTTAACAAAAGTTAACATCTTTGTAAATGCCCTCATCTCACGCACCACACCATCCGAAGTTCAAGTGTTCATAAATCAGGGGAAGGGGAAAGGCCCCTCCAATCCTTATGTTCCAAAATGACAATTTAAAGGAAATGCCAGGAAAACAATGCATTGGACCTGGGGAAGGGAGCTGGCTTAGGGCTAGGTGTGGGTTTAGGGAGGGAGGAAAGAGAAGGTCTCAGAAAGGCTTTCCCAAATCTTCCTCAGGGTGACTGTGACCTGGCCTCCCAATGAGAACAAAACACTTGAGGAATGGGTTCCCTCACAAAGGCTAGATTCATGAGCCAAAGAGCAAAAGATGTTCTGCAACGGAACCCGGCTTTTGGTATTGGCTGTGTCACTAACCAGGAGCGCAACTTTTTGTAAACTTCATTTGAAACTGAACAGGGGAGCCAGCCCCCTCCAAAACCGCTATCCCAACACACTTCTTGGTGTATTATCAGCTTGGCATTATCCCGAGTTCAAACTTTTGGGCAAAGGCCCAATGGCTTCCTCATCCCTTGTGCGAAGACAGCGAGCCCTGGAGTTGAGGAATTCCCCAGCTACTGCCGCCCGCTCCATCGTGCAGAACCCACTGCGGTCCAGCTGACCACGTCCAATTGCATCTCATTGGATTCGGCCTCTCTTGTCTTAAACGTACCCAGGTAGGGAGTTCAGGCGGAAGAGGAAAAAGAAAAAAAAAAAAAAAAAAACACAGGCAGAGAGGAGCCCAGCGGCCCGGCTCCGAAGGTGGGAAACTCGGCGGCCGCGCTTACCCGCGATGTCCCACAGCTGCAGGCGCACCAGCGTCCTGCTGTCCCAGTTGAGGACCTTGAGGGCGAAGTCCACCCCGATGGTGGCCCGGTAGTG